GAAATACGAAAGAAGTTAAGGGAAGATTATGAAAATTACAAGAAGATAGAAGAAATGCCTGCAAGCGATTAACCTAAAACAACGAATCCTGAGTGTGCTTAAAGTCGAAGGAGAAACAAGAACTACTAATCGGATGAATGCGATCCACACAAAGGTATGCAACAACCTCTATTTTTCTAAATTAGGCGTCAACAAACGTTGCCCCAGAAGCTGTTTCTAAAGTCACCTCGGTAAGGTTGAGTGGACAAACAGAAACACTCAAAATGAAAAATCCCCCAAAGACGACATAATACCAGAACTGCTAAAAGCTGGATGAACAATCCTGTTTAAGGCGCTTGCTAAATGTTTAACGGAATATATCAGGCAGAACACGTCGCCTACTGTATGAAAGACATTAAGCACGATTTTTCTCATGAGGAAAAGCGACTCTAAAGACCTCAGCATAATCTAAGTCTTCACCCACATCATTTTTAACCGTATTCAGAAGGATCTCAAACAAGTCACAAGTGCGGAACAAGCCAATTTTCGTACATGAATTTCCACCGTCTACCATATACATGCCATCTAGCAACTGACAAGGAAGTGCAACAAATATCAAATGCCATTCTATTCTGCTTTCATTGCATGCAAGACTGCGTTCGATTTGATAGATTGACCGCTGTGCTAAACTCCCTGCATGAACATGGCATAAAGCCTGTTTAGGTAAGCCCGATAGAGAAATTGAAAACCGATTGCATGACCGATGTTTAGCTGTTCAGCGCAGAGTGTTGCATCAGTATTAATCAAGGAGATACCGTCTGACCAGCGCTCTTAGCCGCGGCCTTGGAGTCATTCTTCAACTGGCTAAACTGACGCAAAAGTACACTGATGAAGAGCAGCTAACGTTCGATTTCTTTGAGAACGACTGCGTCGTCTTCAATAAAGAAGCGATGGAGACCAACAGAAGATCTAGCAGCTGCAAGATGAGTCTCTCTCGATTAGCTTGGAGGGTTACCTCTCCAAAACGAAATAGATCCAAAAAGACTACCGTTCCGAAGGCCCTATCTGTGGAAATGACAAAGAACTCGAACAAGTCACCACCTGTGCATGCCTTGACCGTAAAGTGAATTGCGTAAATTTGCTAGACGGGAAAATTAGCCAAAGTTCCTACCCTAAGGGCGACATGGGCCCGCTTTAACTGCATTGAAACATCGTTACTTGCCAGCGACCTGCCCTTGTGGACAAAGAAAGAACTGTTCAATTCAGCCGTCCTACCTGCCATGTTCTACGGCGTCTGCTGTTAAAACCGAGGCTGCTGTTTGTCATAATCACCTTTGCCATC